CAATGAATAGGCTTTCCCTCATTTGGGTGTCTGAATACGCACAAGAGCCCCAAAATGTAGCGTTTAGCAAGCAGGATTAGAATAGAGAGTGATTCAGCCGTGAAAATCCCCCCGGTTTAATGGCTGTTGGGAGAAGTTGCACTTTATAGCTGATTTGAGAGCATCTGAGAATCTGTGTGACCAAGTTAAAAGTTTGAATTTGGAAAGCATCAGCTGATCTCAGATCAGGACCCTGATGGAAGCCAGAAAGTGATCATTCATATGAAGTGAGTTTGAAAGAGAAAGGCTGTCCACCCACACTATTTACGAACCACTGCCACAGTCAGCCATTGTTCAGAGAAACACGTTAACAAGAAAGAATGATGGAGAGGAAGGATCACAGAGAATCTTGAAAGGAAAAATATATTACTGCTGATAAAGCCACTTCACTACCATATATATATATATATATATATATATATATGTGTGTGTGTGTGTGTGTATACACATATATATGTACACAAAACAAATCACATGGGCAAACAACAAAAAATGAAGATATAGGAAAAAGATGGAAATGGACTGAAATAATTTAGACACTTTACAAAACTTCTAGGCAAACATGCAAGAAATAAACAAGTAGAGAGATACCAATACTGTTTAAACGCATAATGTACCCTATAGACAATTATTTCACTGGTTTTAGATGCAACTTAAAAAGCGGGGCCAGAAGTAGTGTTTTATTGTAAGCTGTATTCGTCATTAACATAATCTAGTCTATAAATATAGGCTTAACCTGTGTCTTGTAGTGTTTTTGGATGATGCTATCACTCTTCAGTGTGAAAATGTGCTTCCAAAAAGGAAAACATCACGAAAAAGAAATGAATAAAATGTGTTTTGCTCAGAATAATACATAAAAACACACAAAAACATTAATATAAATATGTTTTTGTTTGAAATAAGCTAACTACATGTCCTATTTTTGAGAGAGAGTTATATCAGTGAAGTTCTCCGTAAACCTTAGCTGTGTATGACTCAACGCAGCTAAACACTGTATGATGCCAGGAAATGGCTGTTATTCATCAAAGTCTTCATTGTGTTAATAATAGTATGAAAGTCAACAGTGTACATTTCTGCAGTGTACGTGAGCGAAAATGACAGGAATAATTCAGCCAGCAATCTGTCACTATAGAAATGTCAAGGTACTGTCTGACTTGCCTTTCCTGTAGGATACGTCTTTCCCTCAAAGCTGGTTGCCATTTTTTCAGGTGTGGAATATAGGCCAGACCCATTACGAGAAGCCATAAAACTCTGGTCTCCTCCAAAATAAAGGAGCACAACAAAAGAGTGACTGAAGCAGCCATCTAGAAGAGATAAACAAACAAGGCTCACACACACAAACACGTATGCACACACAGCATTAACCTTGCAAATTTTCATATTACTGATGTGGTGAGTCACACACACACAAAACCAAAACCAAAAAAAAAACAATCTATATCCTCCTGAGACCCAGGCCATTATATTTGAGTGAATTTCTCTGAGACCTCACATGTCACAGTTTTAAGTCTGGATGTCCCGTACAGAGCACATTCAGGGTTTTCCAGAGATACCAAATGATTGGATGTTTCACTATCACCACTCCCTCTCCTTGGTTTTGAAAAATGGCTGATATTAATTTAGTGATAAAATTGCACATCCTTATGGAAATATGATCATATTTTGTAATTATAATTTAAATCTGATTAATTTTCAAATTGTTTGTCATAAAACAACATCTCAGAAAAATGTTATGGGGTTTCAAATCAAAATATGTCTTCCTGTTATGAAACAGGACATCATTTCATACATGTCCACTGTAGAGGACACCAGGACTAAAAGCATGTTTATTATACATTTTGGGAGACAAAAGAATTGAATAGGAAAAAAATATATATATCAATAATCTTATGAAATATTAGATATTATGAAAATCTGGCCAATTACTACTCCCATTATCACACTTCTTTTTTCAACATGCTGTCCCAACAGCACTTTAATATGCAAATTAGATACAGTGTACAGATAACATTGTGCTTAAAGGGAAAACCAGTTTATGGAATTTTTACACACATATTGCATAAAGCAAAATGGTATATCAAATCATTTTGTTATATGTTTTATAACA